GTCGTAGGTGAGCGTGTACAGGTCGTTGACGTAGATGCTCTCCACCTTGTACTGGCGCTTGTACCGGGGGAAGTGCTGCGAGCGCCTCAGGCTGGCGGCCAGCGTCGGCGGCAGGCTCTGCAGCTCGGCCGCTCTGTCCCGCCCTTCGCCGCGTGGGGTCGTCAGGCTCTGGAACCTGTCGAAGCGGGGCAGCGGCGGGAGGGCGGAGGCCATGCTGCTGCCGCCGGAGAGGGACGTCCTCGCCGAGGAGCCTCCCGGGACCTCCAGGAGGTTGACCTCGTCCTCGACGGACGTGATCGAGGGCGGGATGTGGCCGACCGACTGGAGGAGGTTGACCTCGTCCTCGACCGATGTGATCGAGGGCGGCACGGAGGCGGAGGCCTGCGAGCGACCCTCATCCTCGATGAGGCTGCTGACAGAGGGTGGGCCGCTGTCGTGCTTGCCGGAGGTGGGCGGGCTGGAGGATCGGAACACCGGGTTCTCGCCCTCGACGGCCGCCTCCGCTTGCTCCGAGACTTCGTTCACGGTCATCGCTGGAGCTCAGAGCATGCCGCGCGCCCGAGGAATGGCCTGGCGTGAGGAACGGGACAGCGGGATCAGCGGAACAGCCTCGGCAGGGAGACATTAACGCGGCTCCGGCAGTGCGTCAAGACTCCTCGTTTCGGGACGCCGGATGACGAGGCTAATTGGCCCCTCTCTCTCTCTCTCTCTCTCTCTCTCTCTCTCTCTCTCTCTCTCTCTCTCTCTCTCTCTCTCTCTCTCTCTCTCTCTCTCTCTCAATAATAATTAATTTAAAAAACGCACTATATTTCCCCTAATTCAAAATCGAAACAAAGAAACGGCTTTCGGGATCGAACCAGATGGAGCTTTACCGCATGATCGACTGTGCATGACGACTCGCATGGCAGAATAGGTCCGGGACCAAACAGGACAAAACTGGAACTTATCCTGGAGTTCAAACACACGCTCACGCAAGCACATACACACACACACACACACACACACACACAACTATGGAAACACATTCTTCGTGCACATACGTACGCACCATCCGCAAGAGCACTGAATCTCACTCATGTGCCCATCCGACGTCCGTACTCAGATTCGCACAGACGTACAAGGAGACACACACACACACACACACACACACACACACACACACACACACACACACACACACACACACACACACACTACACACACACTTACACACACACACTTACACACACACACTACACACACACACACACACACACACACACACACACACACACACACACACACACACACACACACACACACGAGACTATCGCAGAAACGTGTTTTTCCTTCGATAAGCGACGTCGCTTTATCACCATAAGAACCTCGTGGTAACATGTACAAATTAGCGAGATTACAATGGTCACAATAGCATAGGAAAAAGAGAACAATAATACATGTAATTCTACCAAGATGAGAGTCACCTTCACGGGTTCGTTACTCGTGGTATCCGCACACACAGCGACACAGAATTAATAAACTTTAATTCACTGTATAGCTTGTGGTTTTGTTTAATTCAATATACTGTGTCAGTTAATATATTGTACATTGTAATATATTGTACATTATTGTATATTGTACAGTCAATATATTTTACATTCTAATATGAGGTACAGTTAATATGTAATATTCTGTACACTAAACATTGTACAAATATTGCACAATTGTCACCACTGCACTCATTACACTTAAAGGAGGTACGTCACTGTGCTTTTCAGTTTAAAACTTTTTCTATCAAAATGTCACATATCACTCGCATACATTGTCAAATATTCAATATATATAGAGGAACACAACCGCCATCTACGTCAGATTTCTCTTAGTCACGTACTCCTAGCGAACCTGTCTGATCGCGCAACAGATACAGCTTCACATATTCGACTATGTACAGTTATCTACAGCGCACCGACAGGTAATTTTGTACATCTTATAAGGCTTCATTTTTGGCGGATTAGTTTCACCGTTCATATGACGAAAAGAAGCCAAATAAACACACTCGAACATCACATATTATTTCCCCATCCGTGCTTTCCCTCTCTTTTCCCCCAGAAGTTTCCACATCTCAACTACACTCAAAAATACACTCAACACACAAGCGCTTATCAACCTTCACGTATGGACGAGGATCCAAGAAATATATCTATCTTCCTTCTTTTCTCTAAATACTTCGCGACGAGGTACGTGTATCCAGTCAAAAGTAATCGAAAAGTTCCGATCTGGATTCCAGCAGAGAGCGCACGGTATACAGAAGGGCAACTGCTCGCACTGCCGTTCCAGCGCCCGACGCGTTTCCACGCTCAGCTGACGGCCGCGAGTGTGGTGACGTCACGTCCGGTAAGAAGGCGGCCAACACGGTAATATATTCGATGGGAGATTTTCTTTCCCTTGCTTTGTGTCTGTGAGTTGGCGTTTTTTTTGGGCTGTTGTTGTTCCGAATTCGCGGAGAGGTATTAAACTTCTTGTTGGATATTTCGGGAGGGATTTTGTCGCTTTGGAAACATTTCTTCATCATCAGTCACGTCCAAGAAAAAGGGTTGTGCTTTCGAGAAGTTCGTACGTGCGCGCTGAGGCGTGCAATTTCCCATTTTCCCGCGCGCTCACGGCCTTACTCCACGCTACACAAACTACTGAAGATCAGAAGGTTAGCTTTAACATCTACTTTTTTTTAGAAAGATGCTTTAGAAATATGACAAGAACCGTAAACAGGAAGAAGTCATTTGTCTACGTTTTTCTTTTACGTTTTTAAACGGAGGAAAAACATTTTCGTTGTAATCCGACGCTCTGGCATTGCGCATATTTACAAGGGAAACATTACTTCGCAACCACAAGCTCTTGCGCAATGCTAATAGCCTCACAACAGTGGACAACCGCACGCTGCATTACCTCACCGGGCCGGGAGTAAATGCATTAAAGCAATTGCAATAAACGGCACCGAGATTCTCCATTCGACTACACAGCTAGCCAAAATTCCCTCGCGGTGTCACACTAGCGAAAACTAGCAATCGACCTAGCACCCACGCCCTCGTCGCCACCTGCATGGGTTTGCTCCAACGCCCATGTATTCTGTGAACGCACTCACGACCCGCCGACTGGACTCGCCCGTGAACATCTGCGCATTCCTAACTTTTTTTTCTCTTTTTTTTTCGTTGTTCACATCTGTTCGCATCATAAGGTTTAATTTTCCTTTATCTGATATATACTAGATGGGAGAATGGAGGTGTGTGTGTGGGGGTGGGGGGGTGGTGGAGAGCGGGGAAGGGGGGGTGGGCGGTTGAGGGATGTGAACGGCCGCGTTTAGGAAGTGCGAGCAAATGAACAGAAAAAAAAGAAAAAAAGACAAAAAAAGAAAAAAAAAAAAAAAAAAAAAAAAATGGACAGGAATTTTTTTTTAGATATCTTTCGCTAGAATTCTCCTACAACTTCCTCCTGCTAGATATCCTTTGCAATAAATAAATAATAAGAACAATGAAAAAACAACAAGAACAAATGAAATGAAATTTTAAAGTCATTGAGAAGGTCAAAAAAGAAAAAAGAAAGAAGAAGAAAAAAAAAAAAAAAAAAACATAACAAGGACATTTATCAGTTCCCGGATGACAGTCCAGTTCTAATCTTGTCTTTCGTTTCACGCCCACGTGTGAATCTTGCCCTTTCATCACGCCCACGAGTCGTTCTTGCCCTTAGTTTCACGCCCACGTATGAATCTTGTCTTTCGTTTCACGCCCACGTGTGAATCTTGCCCTTCGCTTCACGCCCACGTGTGAATCTTGTTCTTCGTTTCACGCCCACGTATGAATCTTGTCTTTCGTTTCACGCCCACGTGTGAATCTCGCCCTTCGTTTCACGCCCACGTGTGAATCTTGCCCCTTATTCAATCTCACATATATACCTCTTGCCCTTCAACCCACGCTGAAGCATAACTCTCACCCCCTTTAAATGAAACCCGCACGCCCACTACAAGACACGCCCACCGACGAGGCGCTCGGAAGATGCATGTCAGTTTGGAAAGTTCTGGGAGCCACTCATGTCATGATGAGACCCCCCCCCCCCAACCCACACTACCACCCCATCGTTACGGAAAAGCGACCACGCGCCCGAGGATCTGATCTAACGAGGGCAGATAGAAAATTAATGGTTTTGAGATCAGGTGTTCTAATCAGCTTGATTGAAAGGTATAGGTGTGGTTCTGATGATAATTTATTTTTTTCTATATATTTGATAATTTCTTTTTATCTATATATTTGATAATTTATCTTTATCTATTTATTCATTTTATTTCGGGATGCTTTCCAAAAGTGGACTGGATGGCATGTATTTTATATGTATATCTATCTATATATTATTGCATATGTGTGTGTGTGTGTGTGTGTGTGTGTGTGTGTGTGTGTGTGTGTGTGTGTGTGTGTGTGTGTGTGTGTGTGTGTGTGTGTGTGTGTGTGTGTGCATACATGCATACACACATATATATACATCCATGCATACATACATATACATACATGCGCGCGCGCGCGCACACACACACACACACACACACACACACACACACACACACACACACACACACACACACACACACACACACACATACCCCAACCTCGACGCGAAGCCAACCCGGGGGGGGGGGGGGCGTCCCTTCAACCCACCTTGACGTAGGTGCTCCAGGGCGATCTTTGCATCACGTTGCCCTCGGGGTCAAACCTAAAGACTTGGGTCGCGGCGAAGGAGGACTCGACGCCTGGCACCAGCGCGTAGCCCTCGTGGGATCGGAGGACTTGGTTCACATACGCCGACATTTTTTCCGTTTTCCTTTCCTGAGTTCTCTTTCTTTTTTTTATTTCCTTTCTTTTTATTTATTTTTCTTTTCCTGTTTTTTTTTCTTGTTTCTTTTTATTTATGTTTCTTATAATGTTTTCTTTTTCCTTTTCTTATTTCTTTTTTGTCTTTTTCCTTTTTTTGTTTCTTGCTTCAGATCCGGTTGGGGGAGGGGAGGGAGGGAAAAACAGCGTTTTCTTCCATCTTTTTGAAAGTTTTGACATTATTTCTACCATTTTTTGCACTGCTTGCCACGCGAATATTGTGTTGTTTTTAATTCTATACATACATCTTTCCTTTCCGAAGTCAATATATCAATAGAGATACGAGACATGACGGTCGATAAAAGTACAACTGAAACAGAAAAATCTAACAAAAAAGTAAAAGAAAAAAAGAAACGTTTTCTTTCTTTGTTCAACGTGAGCAGATACGTTTTGTTTTTTTCGTCTATTGTGCCAGTGAGGAAGCAAACAAGCATACACTGTTCACCGAAAACTCTTCCACGAAACCACAAACGTTCGCTACTGACTATTATGAAACTAAGTGGTGTTATCACTGATAAACTTATCGGGTCTCTCCTTGAAGTTTCTCTTATCGCAGACCGAGCCACGCATAGTAATTCACCTGTATAAACTGCACTGGATTGGCTGATAAGTGCGGATTTATCACGGCAAACTGATAACCTTTCAGTAAGCCCACAGTGATTTATCTTAAATCTATGATACTGGCCTTCTATGCATCCGTTTTATCTCGCCCTCGATACTGCAGTCTCCTTCATCTTGTAAACTACAATCCTGGATTCGGCTTGACTCACTTGGGACTCACAATGACTCACCCTCAGACTCAGACTGACTAACACTCACCTTTATGCAACTAAGCATACCTACTCATCTAGAACTCACCTAGAGACCTAAATGGACTCACTTACATACCCTCCAGACTCAGTTGAAACCCGCCTACGTTCACTTAAACTCACCTAGAGCTAAATATACCCATGGCTCACCTAAAATCCCACACAAAAATCCAACTTTGAACCAAAACACGTAACCCTTACCCTGCCCTTTCCTCAGCACTTAAAAAAATGATCTTCCTACAAGGTAACTAAAATAAATAAGCAAGTAAGTAAGAAAGAAAGAAAGAAAAAAAATTGGAATAAGTAAAATAAAAGTCAACTTAAGTAAGCAAGAAAGTAAGTGAGCCAAACGGCAACCGAAGAAAAAAAAACCTTGCATAGGCCTACTTACCCGCCGTTCCTCCTCCTTCGTGGCCTTGAGGTGGGCCTCGATGGCGTCCCAGTCGATCTTGGGCATCGCCGTCTCCATGGTGTACACATCGAACTCTCCTGAAGACGAAAGAGACTCGGTTTTAGTTAAGCAGTTGGGCGTCTTGGTGATTTTCTCTGATTATTTTATGGTTATATATTTATTTATTTATTCATTTATTCATTTATTTATTTATTCATTATTCGTATTTTTGGGGGGGTGGGGAGTCATATTTTTTCGGGTTATAATGATAATGTTTACAATGTAATTATAATGTTTTGTATCATTAACGAACGGAAATGAAAACAACGAGTAATAATAAGATTAGAAATATATTTAATGAATAAAAATAATGCTCTTAACGAGAGCGAGAACATTCTACATAAAATCTACGGTCAGTTCCTACCATTTTCTGCCGTTCTATCACATTTTTTTTTTTCGAGAAGTTATCAATAAACACAGACTTTCGATTCGCTTTAATGTCGCATCAGCAACGAGATTCTGTCTATGAGTAAAATAACACAACTGTAATAATGGATTGCGGAACGAACGAGGGAATATTAATACAATTTCGTTTCTTTATAACAATAGTTTTAAATATATAATTTCATGTTTTTTGTTGTTGTTTTTTTCAATTTCCAGTCACATCTTTTACCGTTCATCATTGTTTTTGCAAGAAACTTCAAGTGAAGTATCCTTGCTGACTGTGTATATGAGTGAGCATGTGTGAAATAAAGAGAGAGAGAGAGAGAGAGAGAGAGAGAGAGAGAGAGAGAGAGAGAGAGAGAGAGAGAGAGAGAGAGAGAGAGAGAGAGAGAGAGAGAGAGAGAGAGAGAAGAGAGAGAGAGGGTGGGGGAGGAGGGAGGGAGGGAGAGAGAGAGAGAGAGAGAGAGAGAGAGAGAGAGAGAGAGAGAGAGAGAGAGAGAGAGAGAGAGAGAGAGAGAGAGAGAGGAGACAGGAGAGAGGAGAGAGAGAGAGAGAGAGAGAGAGAGAGAGAGAGAGAGAGAGAGAGAGAGAGAGAGAGCTAGATAGAGAGAGAGAGAGAGAGAGATAGAGATAGAGAGAGATAGATAGAGATAGAGATAGAGATAGAGATAGATAGAGAGAGAGAGAGATAGAGAGATAGAGATAGATAGATAGAGATAGATAGAGAGAGAGAGAGAGAGAGAGAGAGAGAGAGAGAGAGAGAGAGAGAGAGAGAGAGAGAGAGAATGGCGCGAGGGTGACAACAGCATAATGAGAGTGACGTTCCTCACACACACAAGTATGAGAACAGCTGGCGTAACATTACCCAGTCGCATGCTGATTCTCCAACACCACTCTTCTCACGGACCTCAATTCTTGCCACATCACTAAACATACTTGTCTCATTTTCTTTCTCTCTCTTTCATTCACGTTGCCGCACCCTTCGCACTTTTTTTTTAATTTTACAAGTAGGAAGAACCAACACTTTTTCTCTATTCACCCAAAAGCCCCCCCCATGGAACTCTCATGACCCGTGACATGCAGCAACTACCGCCTCCTTGCTCCTCATGGCACTGCGAGTTGACAGTTGCTGTATTCGTCCGCGTTCCTGAGAAATATTTTGCGAGTTCCAGGTCACGCCGACAAGACCAGGATTCGCGAATGTAAACACGTCCTTTTTTTTTGAAACACAAACGGAGACAGAAATAAAACCATCGCCGTTTACCTATTGTCTCCATTTCCTCTTCCATCCTAACAGCTGTTGCGTAGGTCTCTCTCTCTCGCTCGGGTCGGTGGTGAGGCTGTGTTTGTTGTACGCGAGGGACTACTGGGGGCTGCGTGTGTGATCTTTGTACACAGGATCCATCTCACGAGGAACCGATGCATTGGAAACCGTTAGCTTGATTTTTTTTTTTACTGCTTTGATCAGTTAGGGAACTTTTTCGATATTTTTTTCTTCTTTATTGATCAATTACGGGATTTATTTTTTCGTTACTGTTTTCTTCTTTCATCAATTAGAGGATTTTTTTTTCGTTTCGCTTACTCACTCTCGTACGCACAGATTAAAGTTGAATTATCCATGTACTTAGTTTTAGTAGTCAAAATTGTCATATCTCGTGGTGTCCTGAAACCCCAAGCAGACTGAGAAATTCCCAGGTATTAATTTGAATGATATTTCTTAATCAATCCAAAATTAATTTCAACATTTTCATACAAATTTCCAATTCTCTTCTAAGGTTATGTGAAAAAAGTCTAAACGTTGAATCCTTTTGCAGTTCTAAATCCCAGAATCTTCCGTTCCTTTCCAGAATGCTGCGTTGGTCTCTCCCTCTCGACTAAGTCTTCCTTCACCTCCATCTGTCTCCCAGATCTTTGACCAACACGAGCTTTAAATTACGTTCCCCTTTTAGTACATCTCTGGTCACAAGCTCGTCAGCTCTCTTATTTAACAAATCTCCGTTCACAAGCTCTAAATTAAACTCTCTTGTTAGCACATCTCTGGTCACCACAAGCTCTAAATTCAGCTCCCTTATCCAACACATCTCTGGTCACAAGAAGCTCTAAAATAAGCTCTGTAATTGAACACATCTCTGGTCACCACAATCTCTAATTCAAGCTCCCTTTTTAACACATCCTCGGTCAACAGGAGCTATAAAATCTCCCTTGTTAATCCACCTGTGCTTCCTGTTTCACGAAGCAATCCTCGCCTCACAAATCACTTCGGATTTCCCTTGCCGACGCGGAGGTACACGAGCAGGAGAGCGAGGGTGGCCAGCGCAAGGACGAGCACGAGACCGAAATCCAAGGACCAGAGGAGACTGTCCCTCGCGAGCGTGTCGGCGGCGTCGGCTATCGGGGCGCAGGAGTCGGGGGTCGGGGGGGGTTTGGGCTTCAGCGTCGTCGGGGGAGTCGGGTCGGAAGTGGTGCGTCCAGCCACGTGCATCTTCACAACTGCGGGGGGATTTGAGCAGCGCCTCCTCCCAGCTTCAGATTCCTGTTATTTTAATATCTAATGCGTTTTCGGAAGGCACACACACACTATACATTTCGTTTTGTTTTCCGCGTAAGGGGGAGAGGCGGCTGCGGACACGGGAGAAGAGGAGAGGAGGAGCAGGAAGAGGAAGAGGAAGTGCCTCGCGAGCCGTGCGGGGAGCAGAGTCCTCCCCGCGGCCGTGCGCCCCTCTTGCCCAGCCCCTCTTGAGAAAGAGGTCCTGCGCGCTGCGACTCGGCCCGGGAGCGGACGCCGTTGCCCTTGGAAACTGGGATAACGCACACGGGATAAACAAAGACACAGCCATTCACCTTATCAATAAAATTGGGCGAGCGGACACGTTAGGAAGCAGGTGCGGACGACGCTTCGCCCGGCCTCCCTCCCTCGGGCACGAGAAGCACACACGGCCGGGACACGCTCGGCGCTGCGCTCGGGACGCCGGGTTCCGCGGCGCCGTCGGACCGGACCAACCTGTCCCGGGGTAAGGCTCTTCCGGATGGACGGCTCTTCGTCCTGGGAGCAGCAGGCGTTTTGATTTCACTATTGCAGTCATTATACACACATATTTAACACACACACACACACACACACACACACACACACACACACACACACACACACACTCTCTCTCTCTCTCTCATACAGACAGACAGATACTAATGCACGACCTTCAATGTAAACAGCCCCAAGAGGAAAAACAAAAACAAAAGCCATGAGATTTGCGCGCACACATCCCTCCAAAGCCGAGAGCACTCTTTCAACTTCCATCAAAATAAAGCGCTTTACCAAAATCCTCTTGTAAGCAATTATCCCAGAAAAAAACGGCCGTGGACGAATCATAACAAACTTTACGAACAAAACAGATTTCTTGAAAATCATACATTAGATGGCATCACGAGAGAAAAAAAATAAGAAACACTGTTTGGGAGTCTGACGAGAGAGAGAGAGAGAGAGAGAGAGAGAGAGAGAGAGAGAGAGAGAGAGAGAGAGAGAGAGAGAGAGAGAAACAAAGAAAACATGAAAAAGAGAATAAAATACCAAAAAGGAAAAAATAAGTCTATTAAAAAGGTGAAACACAGAAAGAAATAATATTAGCGTAAAAGAAATAACGTTGAGGTCCCAGCCTGTCACAAGAACGACTAGCTGTCACTGGGTGGGGGGGGGGGGTAGGCGGAAGGGGGAAGAGAGAAGCTTAAAAACGACTTCTGAATAATTTAACTTTCTTTCCCTTTTTTACTCTCTCTCTTTCTAATGATTCGCGATGAGGTAATGATTTATTGAGAAATTAATACTCAGTAAAGAAGCATATGGAAATTAATCAGAGAAGACCTAATTAAGAAGCCTCGTATGTTTTCGGGTGTAAGTCTACGGAATTCCAACGCCCAATTTCAGCTACCGTTGATTATCAAAGACCAGACCCTACAACAAGGGCCGGGAATTCTCACTTGTATCGCATCAATGCTAAGTTATCCCCCAGACTGTATGGATTTCTCCCAGGACGTAGCAGTCAGCACTGTTTTGCAGAGTACTTAGCACTCAAACCTTCATCTCCAATCTGCCTTTGGTATTCAGTGAAAACTGTTTAGATCAAATGTATTAATCGAATAAATCGGCTTACGTTCTCTTCAAGAGCATTAGGTGTACCCATACAAACGTGTTTGAACTCGGCACACCTCAGGGAGGCGTACTTAGTCACATGCTATTTAACATCATAATACATAGATGACTAGGCGATATACCACTTGAAGGCAATGACTCCATTATTTGCTATGCCGATAATATTTGCATTAAAGCCTCTACTGTGGAGAGAATACAACCGGTTCTAGATATACTTTCAGCAAGGGCTACTGAATGTGGCTTGATAATCTCGACTGAAAAAAACCAAGGCACTTAACCCAAAGACAATCCCTCTGCCAAGGTTTCATATAAATGACGTTGAGCTAGATCTTTGCCACCAGCACAAATACCTCAGGGTGATTGTCAGTGATGCAGAGGTCGTCAGAAACCTTAAGAAAAGGCTGTGGGAGCGGCTGAAGTCACTTAGGACAAAGAACATGGTATCAATGTCAATAATGTGAGACTTTTACCTGTCATACATACGGTCAGTCATAGATTATCATGCAC